TGATTTGCCCCGGGGTCAGGCAGCTAGTGTATAATGCCAGATTTGAATTCAGATCTTCCCCAGCACTCTTTCTACTGAGTCACCTAGTTGCCTCCTAGAGGTAAAAACTTGAGTTTAATCCTTCACTTATTGGAAATTTGTCTAAGTCCTCTGAGTTTATTTCTTAATATATAAAATGGCAATAATACTACCTGATATGCTTCACAGGATTGTTGTAAGAATCAGTTGATGCCCGAACATGTGCAAGTACTTCAGAGTCAGTAAGACTGACCTAAGGAAATGTAAAATAGCATCAGCATTATTGTAGAAGTACATTCCTGTGGGGAAGAAATCATTGGCACCAGGATTTTTTAAAATTACTCTTTAGAATCTTAATATTCATTTCACAAGCATTATATCTGTCAGTTCTTTTTGTCCACATGCTACCTATGATCCTCAAAATAAAATCTGACCACATGTTTTCAGATTTAAAATATTAAATTTTATTTAATTTAAAAGCCCATGTGCTTTTGAATGTTTTCACAACCCACTGGCTATGCCAGATCGTAAAATTCACTAGATTAAATCCATATAGATAAAAGATGACTTTTCAGACCTCAGGCTGCCATGGGTCATAGGTACTACATTGCACTAATCTAGGAAATAATTGGTGAAGAGAATAAAGGGATTCCATCTCGTTAAATGAGACCAACCCTAGTATGAGTCTTTATTAGGATTTAACAAAGTATATGTTAGTCAAGTGGCCATTATATATGACTTAGATAAGTATGTGCTATGGTTAACCTTTGAGTTTTACAGTGCCACTTCACATACAAGGGGAGTCCGAAGTAACTCTGCACCTACATAAAGATGTAACTATCAGCAGTACTTATAAATGGAAACAAATACATTTATTGTTATGATGAAAATCACCATCCTGTTTGTATACATCTGTTATTTGAAAATACTTGAACCAAAGGTCAAAAAAATGCTATTTTTAGCACAGATACAACCTGTATTATAGGTAAACTGTGGTACAAAAAAGTCATAGTAGGACTTAAGCTAAACACCAGTTTCTTTACTACCAGAGCGGCATTGTTTACATAATGATTGCTGTAAATAATTACATTAAAACACAAAATCAGACTGTTTATTAATAATGTTTCTAATCCTAAATTGATACTTGCAGAATCCAGATCAGGTTAAAATTGCTATTGGTTTTATGTTATTGTAGAAGATGTTTGCTCCCCTTATTTTTAGAATAGGAGTACCGTTTTCTGCTTTTCTGCTTTTTCTGAAAGTAGAACTGGGGTGGATTAGTGGATAATTGCATTGCTGTGATTGTAGCACCTGTTATTTCTTTTGATTGACTAGTTCAGTATTAAAGATTCCTACCAGCTAAAGTCTTTACCTTTTTTACCCAGTGGTTTTTTTTAAATTATCTTCTTTTGTCATGAATTGCTTTTGATTTAAAACAGACCTTCCCAGAAGAGAAGTTCATAAGTTGCAGCTTTGAACATTTTCTTAAATTTCTGTTGATTGGTTTGCCTTTCACCTTTTTATCAACTTAGCCATTACTTTTCCATGTCAATGGCAATATCCACTCACAGTAGCAGTATAGCTTGAGTTTCCCTGTTGTTGTTAGCCATTGAGCTTGTGTGTGCCATTCATTTTATAGGTACTAATAACTCTTCCCAGAGCAGCCTTTCTAAGGAATAAGTGTCTAGGTGATGTAGGAATCACCTGCTTTGAATTATGGTTACAATTATAGATGCTAACAACACTGGGATTTTTACCATCATCTCAACACAAAAAGCAACTTGGTTGTGGGCTCTGGAGCATGGTTTATAGTGTCTAAGGCTGTATCTCTTTAATTCATTATTTAAAAGGGAAAAATATAAATAGAGTGGATATTTACTGTTCAAGGGTTTTATTTCTATTTGCAGTATTTGCTAATTAAAAAGTTTCCATGACTTTGGGTTCAATTCAACAAACATTTCAGTTGACAATTAGGAATAAAATCTATGTAAATGCTAGCTCTAAGAATAATATTTATTATTGTTGTTATTAGGATGAGGATAGGGACTGGACCCATGATGTCACTTATAATAGAGAACTCCCAAATAGGAAACTCAAATGTACCAATGCAGGTCTGCATCTTCTCCATAACTTGTAGTCTTAGAGTTACTTGGAGCACTGAAAAGTTAAGTCTCTTGTCCAGGGTTGTGTAGTCAGCATGTACTTTAGCTCATGTCTTCTTGGCTTTGAGGCTGGTTCCCTTGTTCTCCACATCACACTGCCTCTCAAACTGACAATTCGTTTTAAAATTATCTTTCAAAAAGTGACCTATACATGATGAGTGCTGCATGATTTATTTTGTTTTCAAGTAGTTAAGACTTGGCAGCATTCATGCTGTAACTGAACTTTTTTGTGATGTTGAAGTACAGTTTGCTTCAACGAGGAAGAATTTGTCTGTTATTTTGTATAAAACAAAAATGTTTTCCATGTTTTAAGTCTAGCTTTGGCATTTCTTTAAGCTTTCCACAGATCTTCTCCCTTTGTGTCACAAAAATGTGTATTGCCTTCCATCTGCCATACTTGATTATTCCTTTTCTTATTTCGATAGGTTTTTCATTTGGGGGTATGCTTGCTTCGGATGTATTGAGGCTTGCTTTAGTTCTGCCTAATTTGTGTATACGCTTTAAATATAATAAGATAAACTAAAAGGTTTCATTTATAGCCTTCTGAAAGTAGAGCATTTTAAAAGCAGGTAGGTGTCTCCACCCTACTTTTCATGAAGCATTTTACCCATTCAAGCAGACTTTTAAAAACAGCTTGTTTTGATAGCAGACTGTTCTCCTGTGAGCCTTCAGCCTTTGCTTCCTGGCAGCACCTTTGGTGTGAAAAGAGAGTGATCAATTGGGAGACTATCAGTGCCAGCATGCATAGAGTGATAAGTTAACACACCACTGGGAATTTCTAGGGCCCACCAAGATACTTCACTTCTAATGTGCTAACAAGCTCATTTTTCTACCTCTTGCCTCTTCAGTTATTTTTTTTTCTCAGAAGAGCTTAGAAGTTGAGTGCATCAGGCATAATGAAAAGCTCTGTAGGAGGGAGAAGCAATAACCCCATTTTTCCCTTTTCAGCCAAATAGAAAATTAGTTTCTGGTAATACACAAAGGCCAGTATTTTTTGTACAAGGGGCACTGCTGTGAATCAAAGGACTCTATTAACTGCAGAAAATTCAACAGCTGTGAATCTCCCCCAGTGAAAAAAGTACTTTCCAACAAGTTGTGAGATATGTAGTATTATTTAGATTGAACCATCAGTTTCATCATCTTCAGTTTATTAACCACATACTTTTTAAACTGTTATATTATTTTCCTATTTTAAGATTTAATTATATCATCCAGTCATAAAATCCTTGTTAAGCATTTTATACTGTACCTTGTCCTATTACTACTACTACTAGTACTACTAGTACTAGTACTACTACTACTACTACTACTACTACTTACAACCATTGCAAAAATAGGATCCTAGTAGTCAGAATTCAAAATAGTAGAAATTCTAATTAATATTTGTGATGTGAAATAACATGATATATTTTACCGGCTTCAGTTTACTTTCTTCTCATTTGAAGGGTAAAAGTCAGAACTTCTTAAGGTCAGATGCAAGATTAATATGTAGTCTTTTTGTATTTACCCTTTGCCTTTTTTTTTTTAATTATTAGCCTCCATAAATAGCTAACACTGTTTTCCATTGAGTTCCTAGTTCAATTTCAAGATTAAAATTTTTACTCTTGGTCATTACTAGAAGTTAGCATGGTCACCAAAATTTAAAATATCTAAATTGGTATTCAGCAAGGAAAGAAAGTATTAAAATGCTTTAATTTTTGTTGGGAAAAATTCACTGTGACAAACCAGTAGGAACATTTTTATTATCCTTTTTGCTTATTTAAATGTCTTATGTAAGGCCTGCCTTTGTACATGTAGTACAGCAAGACAACTTTTAAGAGTTGTAGGAGAAAGGTTAACTGATTTCTCAGTTCACGAACTATACGACATGAAATCAGCGTGCTAGTTTTTACTGATAATTGTATGGTGCTGCCTGCTGTTCTACATTTTGACAGCCATTTCCATAGTTGCTTTCGTGAACAACAGAAATATTCTCTCCCTTTCTTGCCCTTTCTGTGCTAACAGCACAATCAGGCCTGCTGAAATAGGAAGCCTGGAGTGGATTGTTCAGAAGCAACACTTCAAGATACTGGTCTCTTGTCAATAATATCAGGACAGAGAATGTGGTGAAAGGGAGGTATGGTATTTTTCTGTCAGTTTTAGTGCCCTGCAGATATTTTGTTAGCCATTGTTTAGGGATCCTGTATCCTTTGCAAATATTCCTGATTGTGTCAGTGTTGTAATTGACCATTTTTTCTTGACATAAAGATTTAGTTGTGTATTTATCGTAACTGATTGCAGTTATTAGTAGTTTCATTTAAAATATAAAAAGTTATTGAGGCAGAAAAACACATTTTTTAAGTATGCAAAAATTTTTTCACAATAAGTCTTTACAAGCAAACGTTAAACTTTTGGATATGCTATTTTAAGCAGTATTATGAAACTTAATGTGCTACTTTTCAAACTAAATTTAACTATTTCAGGCTAATTTAAAAATGGGAGTAAGTCCAGTTTGACCTGAAATCATTTGAATGCTTTTTCAAATATACCATCTTTAATGCTTTTGAATATCTGATATCGTTGTAATTATTTAATAATATGTACCTTTCCATTTATGTTAGTGTGCCGAAGAGTAGCCTTAGATTAAGAACTATGCCTTTAATCTCTCCAAAAAAGCCATAATTTTGATGTGTGAATGTTCTGAAAATTATAGAATAGGCTTGGCCGTGAATATTGTATTTATTGCTTGAAAGAAATACGTTAACATCAACAGTAGTCTTCATGGGCATTTTCTATTTAAATGAACTGCACTTACATTCATCCTTAACTAGAGGAAAATAGCTATGAAGAGAGAGCACGGTACCTGCAGTCAATTGTCCAGCACCACCTAGAGCCAACCACATTTGAGGATTTTGCTGCACAAGTTTTCTCTCCAGCTCCCTATCATCATTCAACATCTGATACAGGTAAGAACACTAGAAAATATGGGTCCTCTCTTAGAATTCATTGGAATTTGAAATGCAGTACCCTTTTTCTAAAACCCTGAAGATAATTGAAAACTTTATTTTGCCTAAAATAAATGACTGTCACCGAAATACCATCAATAACATGTATCACAATTTTGGCCTTTAGATTTGACTTATGATTTTGAATATGTTGAAACTAAAGATAAATGGCTAGGAGAAAGTTAAACTAGAAACACTGGTATTCATTTTATATTCCACTAATATAGCAGAAAAGTTATGCGATAGCTCCAAGTTTCTAAAATTATTTCATAATGCAACTGCTTTAAATCGCTCACCAGTTTTTTATAAAAGTCCAAGCATCATGCTTCTGTTGAGCTAATAGAGAGTGTATTTTATGAAATAATTATTAAGATTTCTTTAAATAAAATATAATTTATAGAGGGTCAAATTTGGCAGTCCAAAAAAAATTCTGTTATTATTCTGTATATTTTTTCAATTCATAAAGCCAAAAAAATAAAACTAGCCTCAACTTAGAAATATTCAGTTTGGGGTTTGTTTGTAAATATTAAAGTGTAAGAGGGTACTGCATTTTCCACAGTTAACTATTTTTTGAAGAAATCAATATGAAAACAAATAACTCATCAATAACAGGCCACATCCTGTTCTGATAATACTTTGCACTCCTTATGATTGTTTCATTTATTTTATTTTCCCTCTTTAGATCATTAAATATCAGTTCTGTTTGTCTGAAGGTAAGACAGTGTACAAAACTCATCCTCTATTCTTTTACTCTTGTTTTTTTAACTAAAGCACTAAGCTTTTATAACTCAGGCGTTTACAAACTTAATGCTTCCCTGGTCCACGCTAAACATTTCAGAAGTTTTTACTAAATTTTCTCCAAAGTTAGTTTTTTTTACTAACCCCGGGTTTGCATGAAACACTAACATTGGTTCTGGGATAAAGATAACTAATGATAAAACCTTTGGTTAAAATTATTGAATTCATTAGTGAAATTATCATGTTGACCTTTTTGTTCCTCAGCATGAACAAGTAGTCTGAATAGATGGCATTGGTGTACACGTCTTTGCGTCATTAATGACATCCCAGAGGAGCAGTAAAAAAGAAGAATACATAAAAAAAGAGTGAAATTCCTCACTGATAAACTTTGTTTTCTAAGTGTCAAATAAGTTCAGATAATTTACTTTAATCTAAGGAGGGAAGTAATATAGTTTGCTAAAGTATTTATAGAAATATTGGATTAGGATTTAGCAAACATAGTTAGGCTTATATCAAAATGGTCATTAAAAAGAAATCTGAGGGGAAAATTTTAAGCATTTTTAATTTGTGGGCAAAATCTAAGGAAAATGAGAATAATGTGAAAGTGAAGTATCATCTATCTAAGGAGAGATAAAAATATCGATATGAGTTTTGAGCACATTGATGATACCACTTGAAATTATTCTGTTTGGGTGGCAGAGGAAAGGTAAATGGAAGAAAATTATAAAAATAAATTAATAAATGAATCCATGAATACTATTCCTGACTACTTCATTGCTTAGTAACCGAAAAGAATTTTTGAAGAAATATTAAACCATCTTATTTAAAATAGATGATGACTTTTGGCATGTCAGATAGTTAACCCACAATTTTACCAAAATAAAATGAGACTGAATTTTTTAATGATTCATTAGCATACAAAATAGACAACATTAGAAGTAATTCATTTTAGAAGACACTTGGCAAATAGAACTATTCTGTTTAATGAAGCATAAAAAATTTTTCTTCATAAGTGAGAAGGTATTTTTCATATAAATACTGACATTGCCAAAAATATTTTCACATAAAACATTGTATGTTTTAAGTCAATAACATTATCCTAGAAGATTAAACATTTGGTTAAAGCAATTCTCAGTTTAACATAATGAAATAAAAATAAAATGAATTACTCCTTCATATCCCACCCCCCCAAAAAAAAGATAATGACAAAGCTGTGATCTCTTGGATTTTTTTCTTTAGATCTCACCCCTTTAGAATTGTTCTACCATAGCACTTAACCAACCTCCTACTGAAGCCATAAGGGATGGTGCAAGAGAGGATATACATAATAAAAATTAAGCTAAAATAATGGTTGCCCACCAGCCTGCAGATTTCAAAAGCAGTGAATTAGCAGAAGTATTATGATTTGGAGTTTTTGTTTTGTTTTAACCTAAAATTTGTTGAGTGTATACATAATTAGAATTTATAAATACTTTTAAGATACCATATTCATTCATAATAAAATACTTAACATGTTACAATAAATCCTTGCAAAAAATTGAATTCATTGTGATGTATAATTTCTGATCATCTCTATAATTTAGCCAAATTCTTTTTTTAATTGGTGATAACATGTGCTTTTTGCTGATTTTAAACATTTAAAAATAGTCATTTTAAACATTAGCCTAATTTCTCAAAATGGGTTCTGTCTAATTAATAGATTGATATTTAAGAGTAATTATTTTTACACCTAAAGTCATTGAGGAGCTAGTGTGATGTCATGCTCTGTTGGTCTTCCAATAGCTAGGTTAAAGCATTATTAGATTTCTTCTCTTTTATTTTTTTTAAATATTATGGGAAAAATATTCCTTTTACCTTTACCTTAGTCATCTGACACATAAATGGAAATTCTCAAAACCTTTGGTATTTCTATTTAAAGAATACACAATTTTATGTCAAAACAGCTAATTTATATACCAATTTCTATATAAATACTTGTCTATTTCAATAAAATTTGATGTGCCGTATAGTTCAGATTATTCTAGATAAAATGTTTTATTAATTTTATAATTAAACTTATTCTTTTCTGTAATAGTGGAATGAGATAAATTATCCTATCCAAGTTTTTCAACTTTGAAACTTTTCTATATTTTAAAAAATATGATAACTTGTGGCAATATGATTTGCACTTTGCTTAAGCAAATATTTTGATCACATGTTGGTAGGTTTGAGTGCTAAAGACACTAAACTTTTTATTGTGTTTTTTAGTACCGTCTTTGGAAAACCCTGAAACTTCAGGTTGTTGTCATTTAAGAACACTGAATGAGTAATACTACAATTAATTTTGTAACTTGAAAGTTTATTTACTTACTTCCCTTCAGATCAAGTTAGGTCAAGAGTTTTTAACCTTTTTTGTGTTATGGTCTTTTCAGCAGTCTGGTGAAGCCTGAAGTCTCATAGGGCTATAAATGAAACCAAATATGTTAAAATGAAGATGTAGTTTTTACCCATTCTAGTCTTCAGACCATCTGAAAAACACCCAAACCCCTGTAGATGCTAGGTTAAGAATTCCAGATTTAGGTTGAGAAGCTATGAATATAGAAAAAAAAATCCCTAGAAACACAGAACTTGAGATTTTAGAGGGACCTCAAAAGCATCTATATACAGGAATCCCTACTATAATATATCCAACCTTTGGGATTGTTAGGAAGTTTTTCCTGACATCAAGCCTAAATTTGCTTCTTTGCAACTCCTGGTTCTGCCCCCTGAAACAAGAGAGAACAAAGCTAATCCCTCTTCCCGATGATGTCCCTTCACGTACTTCACATACACAGATATCGTATCCTCCACTGAGTCTTCTTTTCTCCAGTCTGATCCTCATATGTCATGGACTCAGAGCCCTTCAATATCAAGGAATTTCTCCAATTTACCAATGTCAGGGCAGCTAGGTGATGCAGTGGATAGAGCACTGGCCCTGAAGTTAGGGGGACCTGAGTTCAAATCTGGCCTCAGACCAAACACTTGACACTTAGTAGCTGTTTTGACCCTGGGCAAGTCACTTAACCCCAATTGCCTACCAAAAAAAAATTTTTTACCAATGTCCTTCTTAAACAGTGGTGGCAAGAACTAACATAATACTCGATATGAGTTCTGCAGAGAGCAAAGTACTGTGGGACTACCTCCCTCATCCTAGAAAACTATGCACCTCAGTACACCCCAACATCACATTAGATTTTTTTTGGTTGCACATTATATTGCTAACTCACATTGAACTTGAAGTACAGTTTTAAAAATGCAGATCCTTTTCAGAACAACTGATTTTGTCCTTGCCTCTCCTATCTTCTATTTGTGGTGTTGATTATTTTCGTTGCACTTGAGTGCAAGAATTTACACTGATCCCTGTTGAATTTTATCTCATTAAATTGCTCACAGTACTCTTATACTGTCATCTACTCTCTTGTCTATCTTATTCCTTCTAGCTTTGTGTCATCTTCAAATTTGTTCAGCATACTATATAGATATTATTTATATGCTACATAGTATATGCTGCCTTTATTCAAGTCATTGATAAAAGATGGCAAAGAGGCAAGAACAGATCGTATGAGTACTCTACTGTGGAACTCCTGCCATGTGGACATTGACTCATTAACAACTACCCTTTGAGTCCAAACATCAAACCAGTTCTAGCTCTGTTAGTATTAACATCTCTCCATCTTCTTTACCTGAAGAGTATGAGATATTTTGTCAAAAGTGTTACTAAAATCTACACAAACTATATTTACTGCATTACCCTCAACAACTACTTTAGTAATCTTGTCAGAAAAGGAAATTAGGGTATTCTGTTATAGTCTATTCTAGATGGAATCATGCTGGCCCTTTGCAAGCACCCCTTCCTTTTCTGGATTTTGGGTATCTATCTTTAATGATCTCATCTAGATTTTTCCAAAGAATCAAAATCGTACACAGGCCACTTCTTTGCAGACTGTTCTCTTCCCAAAATTGAAACATTTGTCCTTTTGCAATCTTGTGGTACCTTTTCTGTTTTCTGTGATCTTTGAAGTGTCATGGATAGAGGCTCCAAAATCATGTCTGCCAGTTCTTTCAGGACTAGAGGTTTTAGTCTCTCAGCTGGGGGTCTTGCATTCATCAAGGACAGGTAGATACTCTCTTACTATCTACATATTTATCTTGGGTTATCAACTCCCTGTGAGCCATTTTTGTGCTATCATTTCACATGTGAAGATCATTCTTCTTTGCAGACAAAAAAAAATGAGTTAGCTTTCCCTTTTTTTCTGTTGTCAGTTATCATCCCATTCCCCCCAACTCCATTGTCTTTCTCCTCCCAATGTTGTATTTTTTAAAAATCACCTTTTTTTTTGTTGTCCCCAGCCCTAAATCATTCTGAAAGAGACAGACAGGTAGAGAGATCTTCTGTTACCTGGCCTTCTATCTTTTATGTATTTCTGTTTAAAATCTAGGTTGGTGAATTTCCTCCCTGTGCATCTACATTGGACTCTTCAAACAAATCACATTTTTTTTATTAAAAATGTTTCATTTGTGTTTCCAAATTTTTATTCTTGAGCATCTCCCATCCCTCGTAGGCTGACTTCTTCTGAAGCATGGCATCCTACTTATCTCATAGCCTACATATTCATATTCACACTAAGAAATTTCACAGCATGCATTCACCTTAATACTTGATTTATGATGTTCTAAGCAAATAGATAAAGTGAATGATTTTTTGAAAACCAACTTTTAAATTCCTGGTTGATATAAATAATAAAAAGGATACTACAATATATCTTTGTTAAAATTTTCCTCAAATTTACGTAAATATACAAAAGTAATGTCATCAAATTGATTAATTGATACAATATATACAATCCCAAAGTAAGAGAATGGACTTTATTTTGTCAAATAGCTAACTCTTTCAAACCATAGATAACTATTGAAATTTCATTTTCCAATAACTATTGAAATTTCATTTTCCATCAACTCCAGATACTGACTCAACTGTAGAAGAAAATTTTTCTTAACTGCTTTGATTTCCAAATGGATCCCAAGTGAACAACACAAAATTTCAGTTCCAGTTTTAGAAACACCAGTGGTTTGCTGTTCTCACCTGAAGTAATGGGACCATTTACACAGAAGCAGCCGTTTTAAGGAAAATATATAAAGGAAGGAAAGATTTTCAAAACAGAATATTCTAATCCATTAGCCATGTTAAAGAAATTTAGAAACATCAACAAAAAAATTGCTCAACTAAGTGGGGTTTTATAAAATATTCTAGAGGCATTTTTTACAAAAGTAATTATTACAGTTTTTACCTAAATGTTGTTTAGGGTACTGGATTAATTTACTTCCATAATTTAAATTAACATTTGAGGCACCAAGATTGCTAACATTTACTTCAACCCAGTATACTTTCTGAGCTTCATTTTTTTCCCCTCACTGAGTTAATATGAATGTGGCTAGCTTATTGCTCACCGCCATCATGCAATATATATCACATTCATAGTGTTCTTTACAAATTACATGTTAGTACTTTATAAACTAAGAAATTGATCTCTGTTGATTAGATGAAGTATTTTTAAAATATAAAGCTCTTATTTGGAGTTAATACTGGGCCATCTTTGTAGCCTTAAAGATTTTCAAGTTCCTGTAAAAAGAACATTATAAAATGCTGTGCAAGTTACAACTGTATTACAATTTACACTTTATTAAAATTATTGTTAATCCATACAAAGTAATAGTGAAAAGCCCTATATTCGACCTCAGCTATAACCTCAGATTTGCCATTCTCTCTCAAAATATGATCTTCCTCCATAATCAAATACAATTTCATGATGGTTCAGTAGAATAATCACAGGTTCATTGCTGCTGAACCATAATTTTTGACTGGGCCATCCAAACTGTCAGTCCATTGTAAGTAGTATAGCTTTAACCTTGGATAACTTTTCTGACTCAGTTTCCTACTCTGTAATATCTAATACATAAAAACCTACCACTGCTCAATTCAGAAGATGATTTGAGACTTCTAAATTGATTTGAGCTCACTAAAAGAAAGTCATTTTTTAAAAAACATAGTATATGGAAATTCCAATAGGAAGATGTGTCCTGTTCATTCTGTAAACATGTGTTTCTACAATTTTACACTACAGCCAAATGTATTCTACTTTTAATGCTATGAGCTTTGTGTTTTTACTATTTTTTTGTATCCCTAGCCCTTAGCACAATGTCAACACATAATATCCACTTAATAAAATGCTTTGTTTACTGACTAGCTTAATAAATGTTTGTTGACTCACTGACTGAACATTGTGGTTATTCTATAGTGGCTAATTGAAGTTTCTTTGTTAATGATCATTTGCTTCCATTTCTGCAAGTCCCAGAACTGCCATTTCTCTATTCTCACTCACCTCTCAACCCCTTGCAGTCTGGCTTCCAACTTTATCACTCAGCTAAGACTTCTCTCTCCAGAGGTAAAAATGATTTCTTCCTTGCCAAATGGCAATTACCTTTTCTGTCTTTAAAACACTTCTTAGCTTATTAGCAGTATTGGACAAGGATGAGCAGCCCCTTCTGCAAGATACCCTTTTCCCTCTGAGTTTTCATGATACTGCTCTCTTGGTTTTCCTAATTATATGGCCACTTCTTAGTCTCTTTGGTAGGATCTTTATCTATGTCCTACCCCATAACTTGATGTGCCCCAAGGCTCTATCATGGGTCATCTTCTCTGAATTCCTCCATATGCCCTGCTGGAGATCTCAACTCATATCAGTTCAGCAGTCATATCTTTGTAGATGACTTCCATATATCTACATCTAGCCATCATCTCTCTTCTCCACTCAAGCTCCCATCATGGAATGCCTATTGGACATTTGCAATTGAGTGACCCATAAACATCTCAAAGACAAGTCCAAAATTCATTATCTTTTCTCAACCAAATCCTTTCCTCTTCTCAGTTTTTGTTGAGAGCACCACCAGCCTTCTAGTAACCTTGGTTCACAAACTTGGAGTCATTCTTAACTCTTCGGTCTAACACTAAATCTCATCAATTCTACCTCCAGACATCTCTCATAATCCCTTTTCACCAATCACATTTCCACATTTAAGTTCAGGCCCTTAACACCTGGATTAGAAATAATAATAGCAGCACTTAAATAGCACTTTAACATTTGTTTAAAAAAAAAAGCCCTGTATTTTATCTCATTTGATCCTCACAACAAGCCTGTGAGATAGGTACTATCAGATTTATCTTCATTTTACAGACTAGGCAACTGCCAGTTTTTGCCAGTGATTTTGCTAGTCACTTGTCCTAGTCTCACAACTAGTAATGTAAATGCCTGATCAAGATTTCAACTCTAATCTTCCTGACTCCAAATCCAACATTATCTGCTGTGCCAACCTAGCTGCAATAATAATTGGCCTCCTTGACTCATGCTTCTCCTCCTCTCTAATTCATCCTCCAAATATTTTCCAAAATTACATTCCAAAAGCACAGATCTTACCATGTCACTCCCCTGTTCAAAAAGTTTCTAGAATTAAATTGTTGTTCTTGTCATCCAAAGCCCTTCACAATCCACCTTCACCTTGCCTTTCCAGACTTATAGCGTGTTAGTCTACATCACATACATTCCAGCCAAACTGGCCTGCTTGTTGTTTGTGGTACAAGAACTGCAGTCTCCCATCTACACAGCCCAGGCCTCCATGCCTGAATGCTTCCATTAAGGCTCAGCTCAAGCACCATCTCTTACACAAAGTCTATCCTTATCTCTCCTAGTTGTTGGTGGCTTCCCACTGGAAATAGATTTGTATTTTATTTTGTATATATTTATCTCTGTACATCTTGTTCCCCTCCCCAAACTAAATGGAGTAACCTTAAAATTAGCATCTGTTTGGTTGTGTCCGTACCCCCAGGAGGTTTGGGTAATAGGCACTTAACATATGTTTGTTGACTGAATCAACAAGTGGTAAGAAGCCCCAGGTCACAACTTGGGGCTCAGTGTTTCATTTCAATTCAATTCAGCAGACTTTTATTGAGTACCTACTATTGTGTAAGTCACTGTTCTGGGTACTAGAAATAGGAAATTTTTATACCTGGTGAATTAGTCTGCTTTTTCCATCTGGGGAAAACTTTTTTTTTTCAAAGTTCTGTTCCTTCTCTTATTTGTTCAACTCCAGGGTTCACTTATTTTTCACCTCTTTGCATTTAGGAATCTTAAATCTAATTAGCTAGAATCTGTCTTCTGAATTTGTAAATTAAATGTCTTCAGTGGGTCACACCAGAACCTCTGAAGTTCTACACATGCAGAGACCAACAAAATAAACCACGTCATGATTTTTAAAAAATGAGCCAGAGAGTTAACTTATTCTCACAATGCCTGCAAATCATTACAGCCATATTGATTATGGCAATGTAATGATGGTGTTAACTGGTAACAGGAAACCACATGGATTTTTTTTTTTGGTGGGGGGGAAGGGCTAGGGCATGATTCATTTCATTAGCTTTCTGTAGAGACAGCATATGTCCAATGATATGACATCAATATTTATTTTTTAATGTAGTTCACCAACTTTGTAGCTTGTATTCTAGCAAATACACAAGTATAAAATTAACATTAACATTCAAATTAACATCTCATACTGCAAAAGTTAGGTCTTGTTTAGAATAGAATATTAAAGTCATTTTATACATTTCTCTTTCCTGTGCATTTGAAAATTAGGAAATATGCATTGCAAATTATTTAAGTTTGAATTTAATGCACATCATCAGACCAGAAGTTGCTATGAGGTCTATAAATTCAAGTGTCATATGCTAAAAGTAATTACAACCAAATACCACTTATTCAGTCCTCAGTGGATTTGGTGGGGTTCCTATTAGGGGAGATTTTTGTTTATTTTCATTGAGTTTTACATTGATTGAGAGTAAAGTGGTTAAGATAACATTCCATGAGTTCAGGAGACGCATTAGAAGGCCAGTGGATTTGGACTGTTTAATAGACTTCTTTTTTCTTCTTCTTTTCTGTCTTCCTGTGTAACTGTTAGTTGGTAAGTACAACATATTGGATTTATAAAACGGCTCTTTGACTGTGAAACCATTCATCACCCTAACCATGCTCTCAATTATGTTATCTAACCAAAACCTGATTACTGTCTTCTCTGTTCTTCAGTTAACACCTGTCAAACCCTGCAGTGTGTCTCATATCTATTATATCTATCTTCCCTCCTGTTTTCCTCACTTCTCTCTACTTCTTTCATCATTTCTTCATTAACAACAAAGAAAGAAATGCAGTGATAGTTCTCTTCCTCCCCAAACCTCCACTAGAAAGCATTGGCCATCTCAAGGTAAAAAAGCCAAAGGAAGCCCTCTCATTGTTGCTGGGAATGGTGTGCTCTACCAGACAAGCACGGGCTCCCGTTTACCCTTTGTCTGCCTTCTGTCTGCAGTGCTTTTCTGAAGGGAGCCAGGAGTTCATGGGCTCTAATGGTTCACCCAGGTTAGATAGTAAGGGGGGAATGACACATTTCCTTGTATTTTAGGGTGTGTATAATCCTAGTTATGAAAGAATGAATGTTGAAGCACCCCCATTGAGAAAGGGAGAAGACCTGGATTTTGCTTGACCAAAAACTTTTCTTAAGGGAATGTATTTTTGTTATTCAGTACATTTATGATACTTGGTCTTCTAGGTACTCCAGAGACTTTGAGTTGTGATGAGATTTACTAAATGCACTTAAGTTTACTACCATCTCAATAGGACTGACACCCCTATGAAAATTTTTACTTTGCCTTTTTACCAGTTATAATTTCAGTTTTGCAAATGAATAAAAGCAAAAATAAATTGAGAAATTAATTATAATTAGAAAGTTTTAAGCAATAGCAAAAGTCTGAGACTGCCATTTATTATAATACTTGATTAGGAATATGTGTTCATTACCCAGTTTACTAGCTGCAAAGGATTTATACAATTTGATATTTTAATAAATATCAGTAGTCAGAGATTTCCATACTAGGCAGTGTGGCATAGTAGAATGCTACATTTGAAGTCAGAGAATGTGATTTAAGTACTGGCTCTGCTGTTTACATGCATGAGCTTAACTTTCTGGGCCTCAGTTTCCTCATCTGTAAAGTGAGGGGGTTGAACTAAATGATTTCTAAGGTCCTTACAGCTTCCTCTATGATCTTGTGATTGATTGTACATGAGCACTATTACCTTTAAGAATGATAATGGAGAGTCTAAATAAATGCCTTGGGAACTGTAGGTTACAATAACACTAGACTTACTGCATCATACTTGCAACTTTTTCTTTGTTGTCTGTAAGTTTTTTGGTGGATTTTTGTTTTTTGCTTTGTTCAGAAATGAACTATGCTCTATGGAAACGTTTTAAGTGGGAAGAACTAACTTTCTTAAGAAGGGATTTAGTCTCAATGGCTAAATTTTTTTCACTTGTTTCCCTCTTTTTCTTTTTTTTTTTTTTCATTTTCAGATCTGTTTCCTCTGGTTACCTTTTTTTCTGTGGAAGAACTAGAAATCTCAAATAAAAAAACTATTGTTGATCTATCTTAAATTATGGCATTTTTTAAAGCAGTTTCCATTTAGACAAATTTTGATTTTAGAATCGTTGTTATGCAAGAATTTGCTTTGGTTCTTTCCATAAAGGAAATTACTTAATACCTTTAATGACTTTAGTTTGACCTAGCTTTTTAGGACTATTTCAGAGTATTAAATTTAAGCTGTGACTGCCTACATTCTGAAGCTTACTGTAAAGGAACTAGTCCTACTCACCTGCATCTTGAATCCTGCATGCTGATGGTGTCTCTAGATCCCTCCCCCTTCTTAGTTGCAAGGAAATTGCTTCCCATTGCTGCTACTCAGGATACTCTGGTTGGTTCTCCCCATAATTTGATGGGTTTTTTCCTGCTGACATGGTGGCTTTCAGTGAGTTTACAATACTTAATTGGACTTTCTAATGAATAAGTGTTGTCCTTTTTTATGGGTTACATTGCTGGGACATTGGTACTAACAGATTTGTCTCCCTCAGGCTCCTGCCCGGAGACTCTACCCAGCGAAACTTCAACAGCATCGCAGATGGATGGGACCGACTTAGCTTCTCCAATGTCTCCACGAACCAGCAAGAGCAGAATGTCTATGAAACTTCGCCGCTCCTCTGGCTCTGCCAATAAATCCTGAGGAGACAAGCAACTCTGCAGCTTTTTTGAACAACAAACATTAATCTTGAGCAGTTGAATTAGCACTGACAATATTTTCCCCCAGAATTTAGCTAGATGTATGTCTACCATCACACACATGCTCCTTCCTGTATACTAACTTTAGAAAACACCAATATTTTATTTGTAATTCAGTATTTTAGCTTCGAAATTGCTGTGGGGTTTTTAGTTACACCCTAAGCTTCCTCTTTTTTGGTGCAGTTTATATACTGTAGCCTTTAATTTTCTTGATAATTATGTCTAAATTGTCACTTTTAACTCCATGGTTAACAATGAACCAAGATGTAATTGGAGAAAATTCTTTATTGTGCCCCCATTGTAACTTTCTTAGCAAGCTAAATATGTACAATTTTTTTAAATGTACAATTTTAAATTTAAGCATTTGTAAAGTCCAAACAAAAGACACAAATTTGTTCATGCACAGGGTGTGTATAGATTATTTATGTTATGAAAATAAAGTAATTACAATAAATGGTCTTTTAGTATTTTAGTTTCCACTTGAAAATTTTTTTATTAGGTTTTCTTTCCCAAAACAGTGTCTCATTTCCTAGCCATGTGGGTAATACCATAACAAGTCAAAAAATGAGAAAAATCACTGTGCTGCACTCTGACTTATGCTTGCCTTCCAATTATTTTTTTTATAACATTTCCCTTTTAAAATGGTATCATTGTTCAATGCCATTCTGTTTTGAAATTGTGGCCCTGATAATCTAGCCACAGGATCTTGGTGGATCAATAATTTTTTTCTTATATATGGAAAAAGAAGTATTTTTCCAATTAACTTCCTTGCTCAAAATTATGTGTACTATTAAAGAAGATAAGGGAATATTATCCAGGAGTCATACTTTAATCTATTGTTAATATTGAGCTTAGAGATGTGGATCAGTACACAATCCGTTCCTCCAGAAGTATTTTCCTACAACAGATGAGCTGCTCGTATTTTGTGTTGAGTAGCATCTCCTAAGGAAATGTAGCATGGCATTCGTTCTAACTGCATGTGTAAATACATCATACAGGCAACCACAGAAATATAAATTATGTATGGTCATTCATGTAGTATCTACAGATTTGTAATTGTTGAAAAGATGACATAATATTTAATAATACAATAAAAAATATTATTCTTACCAATTCCTGTTCTTGAGTGTTGATTGAGCTTCAGTGTTTTATCTGTTTTAGGCATCAAATAGAATTTATCTTATTTCTGTGATTAATATACACCAAAACATGAATTTAGTTTATCTTCTCACTTAAAAATGGATCTGAATTCTCTTTCTAGGGGTGTACTTTGAACCCAATTCACAATATGTCTCCCTAATCTAAAATTGCCCCCAGTGACTTCTCTCCCTATACAGTTTGAATTGTGCCAATAATAGTCTTCAGTTGCTTGACACTGTAATTTCTCAAATAAGCTTTTGTTAATGCTGCTCCTTTCATATGATAAGCCAAAACTTTATAGAAAAAAGGATTAAATTTTTTTTTGGTTAAGTGTCAAAACATATGTATATATATATATATATGTGTGTGTGTATGTATGTACGTATGTATACACACACATATTGCTGGTAAGCAGAAATAAAAATTGAAAACACAAGAAAGCTCCTGTTTAGCTGTGGAAAGTAGCTTTAGTAGATGAAGTGCATTAGACCATATGGAGTTCAAAAAGTTAAGGAACAAGCTGAAATAATCCAGAAGACTCTCCTAAAATGAAGAGTTATAGAAAGAAGTCACTCATTTCCAATGTGCTCTCAAAAAAATTTTTTTAACACCAGGAAGCTAGGACAGTATAGGATAAGAAATAGTGAAATAATTAATTGCTTTGGAACAAAGTAAACCATTAGCCTCCAGTTGGAAAAAAAAATCAAATTAAGACCAGATTTGAACCTATAGTATTAACTTAAAAAAAAAAAAAAGGAAGGTGGGGGAAAATTAACTTTCTAGAGACTAAGCCAATATTTAATGGGGAAGTGTTTACAGAGTATATACTATCCATTTTCTCCCAGAATTTAGATTATTTAAAAAGAAAATTATGGCAGCCCCTATTTAAAATTATTTCTCCCTTCTCTCTTGCTCACTGTCTTTCAATGGGTTCTAAATGCTATGTGTAAAGGTAAGGACAATCAAACAACACAGAAGATACAAGCTAAGCACATTTATTTGGTGAGCACCATACACCTCTGGCTAATAGAAGCAAGGACAAGGCTGTATAGAATGTACATTGATCATGGTTTACAAAAAGCAATTCAAAAGCCATGAAAAAAAGTCATGAAAAAAAAAGATGTTAAATGAATTGCCTTTCAGTTTTACGGTGGATTACATCTTATTGTAGGTTCGTATTTAGTGCAAGAAATGAAATTACCAACAAAAATGTTACATAAACTGAGTGAAATGTTACTAAAGGGGTAGAAATTTTAACTTCAGAAAACCAGTCTAATGTGTTGGGTTTTGTGTTTGTTTGGTTTTTTTAAATTTATTTTTAAATAGCTTGAACAAGTTAACCTTACACAAAAGTGAAGGGGGATGGGAAGAGTACCTCAAGTCAAAACAATCTTTGTTGCAGTTAGCACTTTCCCCACTTAATTTGGGGTGGATCAGTTTGATGGACTTAAGAGGAAGGGGATTACAGGGAACTCTAGGCCTGAAACAAAAGTCCTGTGAATTTCACTTAAGCTCACTTTTGCCCACAGCCACATCTTGCTTGAAACCTTGGTTCTTTATTGTTTTCTGCAAATTTGGTATCAATCACGTCTATTTTTCTGTTCACAGAATGTACAATGAAAAATTATTAGTCCAATTAGAGAGAAATTATATGGGTACCTGCTATGATAATGGAAGCAAAATCAGTAATAACCACGTTGAGTGGCTTTGAAAAAGGAAAGAAAAAAGTCCTATCTAGACACAGGTAAGTCTTCATCGAGCCTTTCCATAGGAATTAACAAGTCACACAGAATTGTTTAGGGTCTCCAGTGGTTGAGCTCCAGGAAGCTTTTAGGAAAGAAAAGGAGTTAAGGAAAGAGAAAGTGGGGGAGGGGGCACTTTTACCAGTTGGTCCCGCAGCCGCTCACAAAGTCCATTTCTTACTTCCTGTCCCTGTCCCAGTCTTGTTTCTGTACGTCCTCAGCAACCGGGTCTTAGTGGCATCTGGAGCAGCAACACCTGCCGGCTTTCCGAAGGGTGACATTTGTTGATATGTCGGGTTAGACCCAAGGAACTGAAGAAGGTGGACGGACAGTGCTTGCACGGAAAGATCTGTTGAGTGTCTCCGTCAGCTCCTCTACCTCCATTTGTTTCCTCTGGAGGTGCCCCCGCTAAAGCGGGCAATAGCATTTCTTCCCGCACTGCGTGCCACAATCGGTGCTTATCTCTAATGTCGGCTGAGGAGAAGTGAGCCCCGCAAAGTGGACATGGGAAAGCAAGCTGCAAGCTCTGCTCAGTACTGTAGCCAGGGGTCAGCGCTCGGGCTGAACCCGCCTGATGAGTACCCAAGTGCTTGCGCAAGTAAGCTTGACGGCGGAACTTCTTGTGGCAATATGGACACAAGAAAACCTCAGATACCCCATCTCCAGGGCCCTTTCCTGTATTTGGGACGCGACGACCCGACTCCCTTTCAGTATATGGGCCCTGTGGTAGCTGGGGCTCAGGGTGCTGAGTGACCTTGACGTTCTGGAGGTGGCTAGCTGTAGAGTTGGAACTGTCTTGATGTTGATCAGTCCGGGAGCTGTCCTGAATAAGAGGGTGCTGACCTTCAGTACTTTTCTCTCTGCTGTTCTCCTTACCCTCGGGCAGGAAAGATGCGATGGTGCTGCAATCAGGAGACAATGAGGAGGAAGAGGAAAAAGAGGGGAGAGCCTTCCCCTCCCCAGGGACAGTGGTGGCAGCATTGGCAGGACGTGGCTTGTGCCACCGGCGGTGGGAGGCGAGATTGGCTGGGCAGCTGAAGACCTTGTCGCAATCGGGACAGCGGTACTCAACTCTCACTATACGGGAGCATCGGTGCTGGGCCAGTGCAAAAGGGTCTGCGTACTCTTCCTTGCACAACTGACAAATGTATTCACCCAGTGGCGTTCGGCTGCCTTCAAGGCCTCGGGATGGGGTCCCAGGCACCTCCTCCTTGATTTTCAACCCCAGGACTGGGGATGTGGTTACTTCATCTGCGAAACTTAACTTCCTCATAGCCTTCGGCTTCTTGGCACCTGGCACTGCTGTCCCAGACACTGACATTGACATTGGTCCAGGAGATCCCTTGTCACGATGGTCGCCCCCAGTACCCCGCTTCAGTCCTTGAAGAGTGACAGTGCGGGGAGCTGAGTCCGGCTTTGGAGCAGCTTCTGGGAAAGGTGCTAGAAGTGGCATCAAAAGCTGCTCCACCGAAGAGGGGGCAGACGCAGGTGCCACTGTGGAAGAGAGAGCAACTGCGGCTGTGCTGCCTCCCGGGAAGGACTCAGCGGAGGCAGGAGAATTGAGGCAGCGCTCCAGGAATGTACCTCGCACCTCCGCACCCGCCGGCTTAGCTGGGCTGGGACTGGGACCGGGGGTCGAGCCTCCGCCCAGCCCCCACTCAGCGCTTTCTCGCCGGCCTGGTCTGCTACTTCCTCCGGTCCCTAGGCAGGACGAAGTGCGCACGGGAGCTGACAGTCGCGAAGCCGCCTCCTTCTCCTCCTTTTCTACCTTTTCCAATGAGAATTCCAACCGCTCCGTACCCTTCACGCTTCGTTGGGGGCTGGCGGAAGCTGCTCCAGGGAAAAGAGGCGCTTCTTGGGGCCCCAGCAGCTCAAAGTCACTTTCCACCCGACGCACGCGGTAAGAACCTCCCAGCCTCTTGGTTCGTTTCACCAGAAAGCCCCTCGGCATGATGGGGTTGGGAGAATGTGAGACTGAGAGCGAAGGGGAAAAGTGAGGGGTGAAGGCTGCAGGACCCGAGACTGGAGCAGGACGTTGCTACAGCCGTCATGTTCCGGCCTTTATAGCTGAGACGCCAGCTGGGCAGAGGGGGCAGTCAACCTCGCTCTGGGACGGGAAGGTGCTGCCCAATCAGGAGTAGAAACCTGTGCCGGAAAAGGGGTGAGGGGGCAGGGTCTCAGCTTGCAGCTGCCCAGGCTGGCTATCGTGGTGGGGAAGGGGAGAGATTGACTGCTTCGCCACGCCTTCCCCGAGTTCAAGCACCATTATCTCCCTCATCCAGCAAAATCATCTACTTTTCAGTCCAGGGTTAGAATGATATCTAACTAGGACGGCCTGTCACACTAATTCAGAGTGCAGGTAAAGGGGCGGGAAACCCGCGGGAAGGTAAGCCAGTCAAAGTGTGTGGGAGGCACGACGCCCTCACTCTTCCCCACCTTCTTAGCCCGCCCACAATTACATCCTCGGGTCTCTGCGCCTCCTCCCTTCTCGCAGACAAAGAGGAAGTCTCCGTTAGCCTCTAGCGGCTAGAGTCCCCATACCCTACCGCAACCTGGCCCCGACAGAAAAACTGAAGAATTTCTAGAGATGAGAAAGCGACGCGAATTCCCCCTCCTCTTCCAGCACCTCTGGCCTCTGAGAAAGAATTGGGGTGTGGGGCTGAGACAGAAGAAGCCTCAGAAAAGAAGAGACAGACTTGCGGCCATGGGCAACATTTGGGATCCTTATTGTGACTAGGCCTAGTCAGCCCAGAAAGTTATTTGGCTGGGCGGGCAACAGGGCATTTGGTGGTCTCTATTAGCGAAAGAATGAGGGAAAAGTAAAGGAAAGGAGATTGCTGGGTATCTGTGGGAAGCTTAGTTAGAAGAAGGGATGGTGTAAATTAGTAACAGGTGAAATATCTCTCTACTTGCACTGAATTAACCTACTGATCTAAATTTGCTATTGAAGCACGTCTTAATCTGTCATTGAGACTGCCAGTCTCTGACAGCATGAGAATTTATTTGTGATTAGGAGTGCTGAGTGTGGAGATTGTGCTTCCTAGCAAACTTTTAAGGTTCAAGAAACTAGACATTTCAATGTCCTATTAGTTAAGGACTACAATATGTCTCTGATGTGTATTGTGAGGGGCAGAGGGGAGTACTGAGTAGCTTTCTTCCTTTTTCAGATAAAGTAATTTCCCGGTTCATACTTTATTCTTGTTCCTCACAAAGATATGTCTTAGCACCTCA